GGGCGGCGGCGCCGTCGTGGCGGCTGAGGTTGCGAGCTGCGAGCCGCTCCGCCTCGGCATCCCTCACTGGAAAGTTCTCTCGCCGGAGGACTTGTGGTGCCTCAAACGCCTCCGTCACGACCGCGACGGTAGAGATTGGACCACGTCACCTCCTGGTCTGTCCATTTTCGTTGACCCCAGAGAAATATAAATACTGTAGAGATATCAAAACACAAAGGGAACAAAAAACGGACCGGGTACGAAATTTCAATGTGACACCGATTTTATACACTTCGTAGTTTCTCGTATTAATTCTGTATCGTATTATATATACGTATTTAAATTAGATTTTATCAAACATGTTATCGTTATCGGCATAATCGAAACACCCTCTCGTTCTCGACAACCTTAATCTGATTCGGTGCTCGAATCCAAGGGCTTAGGTCTCGTCCTATGCATTCTCCCGAGTCAAAGCCCGTCTTGACTTTGAGTAAGCTGGAAAGCAAAGATCCTTTTCAGCTCTCCCGTACTCAGATTAATTAAATCCCAAAATAAACATATAAAGAAGCAACAAATAAAGTAAAACAAAAAGTTAGCGAACCCAAATATGATTAATTTCCAATAGTATATATATTCTCAATCCTATACTGTATTATGGTCAAATTTGGCTGGCGTTCTACATATATATATTAAATCTTTATTTATAGAATATTTCCTTTTTCGGGAATATTTTATTGGTATTATTACAAATGAAAGAGAGCACTAGATTAAAAGAAAAAGGTTTACAAGTAATCTTGAGAAGATTATCTCGACATGCATGACTTGATAGATTCTTTGACCGTGACGACAGATACCAATGACTAACAGATTCGCAGCATTTTTAATTTTTTATACACGCAACATACTGGATAAATACGATTCTTTATACACCCGGTCCAAATATACGCACCAAATTCTTCGTCGATTTTTCTAATTACTTCGTCTCGTAATGGTTACATAATCAAAATTTTCGGTGTTACCCTTTGAAAAAAAAATCGTTTTAATCTTACTTTCAAGAACAGATTCTACGCGATGAACGTGCGATCATGTTAGCTTATCTTTTTAGAAAAAAAGACCTAGATTAAGAAAAATGACGTCATATTCAGGACGTGGATCTTCTCCGGCGGGTGGACGGCGTAGATTTCTCCTCGGCCGTGGCAGAGCCGGGACTCTCAGAAGCCTCCGAGCTGCTGACGTCTCCATCCCTATCTTTCACGGTCCATAGCTTGGAGAATATCTTAGGCATGGCGGCAACGCCTTTGGCCTTGTCGTAACTCGTCTTGTTCTTGTTATTACACGTCTCCTCGGCCACAGGAACAGAAGAATCCCAATCATCTTCCGTGTTTGTGGTCGTCGTCCTCGAACTGCCGCGTGATCCGCTCGGCGGGAGAGAGGGTTTGACCGGACTAGAGACATCTGTCGTGGCTCGGACCTGTTCGAAGAAGAGGATCTGAACCACGACCCGTAACGGAAGCCGTTCGTTTTGAATGGCGTGAGCACAAGCCTCCTGTGACAGTTTACGACAGTCCATTAATCTGCATATCATTTTCTTCTCGCTCTTAGTGACCCCTGGATGTTGCTGTAACGGAAAAAGTTTTGAACGACAGAGTGAGAATTCGGTTAACTTAAGCAACACGTAAGTATTAGGGTTTTGCTGAGAATATGAATGGTTTTAGCCTGACAAAGACAACTGACCATAAAAAGAAAAAACAACAATCATAAATGTAAAGCCAGACAGTGTACTGGTTGGGCACTAAACCAATCTGAAACCTACTAATGTGTAACCGGACCAGAAACCCAGGTGGTTAACGCTAACCGGACCAACAAAACCACGATCTCTATGAGCTTAGACAGAAAACCGACAAGAAATATGAGAATTTCTAAAGAGGGGTCTGTATGTATAAGAGATGAACATACCTTCAAGAACATGTCAATGGCACGGTAAACTCCGTCGTGTGAAGATCTCGGGAAATTCAAAACTTTTTCAGCGATAGCGAGGAACTTAGACACGGGCAAATTGGGATCCCTCGCGATTTCAGCCAAGTATCCATCGACTAACTTAGCCACCGAAGCTCTTGAACCCTCTGACTCAAACCCACCATTCTCATTTTCCTTGAAACCATTTTCTGAACGGCCAAATTCGTCTCTTTTCTGGGTTTGTATCACGAACTCATCGATCATGCTCTGAACAATGTCCACATCATATACTGTTTCTGCTCCTTCTGGCGCCCTGATCAAGAGATCAGACACCGTCGCTTCTTCCAGATTCTGCCCGATTCTCCTCGTTAGCTCTTTCTTCTCGATATCTCCACAATCCAGTGATATTGATGTTTTGAATAGCTTGATCAAGAATCCACAAGATACGCTCTGTTTCTCGGTTGGAAGCAATGAAATGACAGTCTCTAACAACAGTCTGTGTTTGGACAGATCACTGGTCTGACCCATCGTCCCCTTGCCAAAACCCGGAATCTTCCTCGTTGCGTATACCTCTAGAGCTTGCCCCACAATCTCGGGCGAGACTCCGCCATTGGTTCTGATCATTGAGATAACCCGTTTGTAAAGATCGACATGAAGCTCACAGAGATCCTCAACCCACCAGTCTCTTGGCACAACTATGCGACCTTCCTCCTCGACCGGAAACTTCTTCTGGTTATATGTATATGACCATTCTACCCTTGCCGGATCCATGGCAGCCTTGGAAGCAATAAACTGGATGCACCGTCCGATGATTTTCAGCTCCTCTGACCAGGGATGGAACTGCCTGGTTGTCTGAAGAACTATGATGGAATCTTTCCAGCTTCTGAGAACGCTGGAGTTCAAGAAAACCTCGATCTTGTAAACAAGATTCCCTTTATCGAGGGATTCGTACATCTCGAGATACTCAGCAGAGCAACGAGCAGCGACGACGTTGTATGCGTTGAGAGTAACGGTCATGCCATAGCAGAACTTGGCACATATCTCAAATGCCGCAGGCCCTCCTGGAATGTCGGGGATGTGGATTTCGTCTTCATTGCTGGAATCCTCGCTGGCCGTGGATATGAGTTTCTGGAGGCGAGCACTTTTGGATAGAAGTGGAAACTGCAAAAGCGATGAAAGTTCATGCCATTATTGCCATGTCCAAGTTTTCATATCATATCAGACCGGTGTCGAAAGATAGCTCGAATCTAATTCAAAGGGGTTTTCCCCCCATAGGATTCTGAAATGAAATCATCATTACCTTATGGAGATGGAACTTCACCTCTCCAACATTCACAACTACATCGGTGGCCAACTCAGTTGCCACATACCTGTCGGAAAACACATTCATCCCACATCATTAAAATCTTAAAAACCACATTGTTCAAGAACAAAAAAGACTCAAATTGTCTGAAAACTTAACCTGATGTTATTATCTCCATTGGACTGAAACGAATCGGGTTTGGATCCAAGCTTCATAAACTTCATTTTTTGCCCTCTACTAACAAAAACAGGATCAGGGTTTTTCCAGATTCTTCCTTCTCTTTCACCTCTCCAACAAAATCAAACCTGTTAAAACAACTTGGTTCATAAAACAGATTGAAATTTGGATAATCATCTGCATAACCAGATGATTAAATAGAGATCAGAGGGAGCACAGATAAAGTAAGGAAGCAGAGTTCTCTTAAAGCATGCCATGAACTTGAATTAGAAGAGAAGGAACCTAATATAGAAAAAGCCTGGCTTGCTTCTTCTGCTGGTTATCCAAGGCAAAAAGAAAATGAACCCTAATAGATGCCAACCCACGTGCTCAGAAGCCGACACTCTGCCTATTTCTTTATCAAAACCCCTGTTTTTTGTTCTGCTTTTTTTCGAATCTTTTCTGGTTCACAAAGCATCAAAAAGATGAAGAAACAAAGCCCGCGATTTCTTTTAATAGGATTCCATGATAAAACACAGAAACGCTTCCGAGACAAGCATTTCTTGGAGTTGAGGAACAAAATACTCCAAAGACAAAACAATGTACGTGGAACAGAAGAACTTGGACTCTTGCAAGGAGCAAGATTCTGTTTCGTTGCTTGTTAGAACCATATCCAAAAAAAACCCAGAAAATTCTATTAAAGAAATCTGTTGAGAGATAAAGAAAGCAACAAGCTCTTACTCGGTTGTATCTCAAGAATCTCAGTCATGTCTTTTCTTAAATAAAGAGAATATGAGATATGGGACAGGAATCTAAAACCTAACAGAGTCACCGCGTTATATGTATGGAACTCAAAAGGAATAGAAATAAGCTTATTCGCGCTGAAATTCATAAAACCCTAGAAACAAGAATTGATTTTTCGGTTTCCCATTTCAGCCAATTTGCAAAATTCTGAGATAACCCTTCAACGGAGACCGAGAATGGATGTAGCCAGACATTTTTCAGGCAAAAATTAACGCAGAAGCTTAACGAAAACCATACCTTGTTGCGAAAGGAACTCCTTTGGTTCAATTCGAAGAGATTATGCCGGAAAAAAAACTGGGCTTTAACGCAGCAACTGACAGAGGGAAACACCAATCCAAGAGGAAACACGACAAAAACAAAAGAACAGCAACGGAACAAAAATCCCAGAAACCAAAAAACAGAGAATGAAGAAGATGAGCTGTTCTTCGTCTCCTTTTGACAGCCACCACAGCTACAGTTGCATTAAAGCCGAACCCTCAGAATGTTCTCTCTCTCTCTCTCTCTCTCTCAATTAGCGCACCACCGCCTCCACCACTCACCAGAATTTTTCTAAAAAGAAATTGTAAAAAAAAAAACTCTTTTTGACGCTTGCCCAGAATTTTTCTTACAGTTCCTAATCGAACAGTGACGTATTTCGATGTATAAATCGATTTTTTTTCTCTCTAGTGGGTGGGTATGTATATGGAGCGATAGAAGCTCAAAAACAGTAACGGAGTATGTGTAGATTCTCTCTCTCTCTCCCTGCACGCCAGGTCTGACAGGCAAAAACTGTGGTGTGCTCCCTTTATCATATACATTCTGACTCAGTCTCCTCCTCTTGTTATATATTTTTTTATTTTATTTTTCCAATGTAGTGTCATATTATCAAAATTTAAATATGATATTGTAAAATTAACTTTATTTATGAAGTCAATATTCAATCCAGTAGTTTGGTGTGAAGGTTTGACCATTGACCACCTATTATTATTGACAAATTAGAATACCAACATTTTTAGAATCGTATAGAAATTACCAAACCACTGAAAATAAAACCATGGTCTAACATATTAATTACAATTTCACTTGGATTTTTAATGGTTGTTTCTAATGATTCCTGCTAGCCGGCACACACACAGATATATATCATAAATAATAAATGTGTGAAAATAAATCCCAAATGTTTTGGTTATCCAGTTATTTTATCGCGACATCACAAGTTGGGCCTGGGCCCATGCTCTGGACATCACATCACATGGTCGTCACCTTTTACCCCTTCTTTATATAATCATCCACATTGATATGTATATAATATATTATAATCAACGCATCTATAATTCGATTGGGAATATGTAATCTTTAATCTATATTAGATGAGAAATTATTTGGCCACAAACAAAAACGTTAAATTAAATATGTTTTCTTTTTCTCGTTGTGACAAAATATTTGCATAAGCGCCTTATAAAATGCAGTCGGCTCTTGTTAAATTTCTATAATAAAACATTTATAAACTGAGGACAAATAATTATTTTGCTATAGGACGGTGTTAAAATATAAAAGAATTACCTCCCTTTAGCTGCTCGAATATAACATAATTATTTTCGTATTAGTTGTTACCATTAGAAAGTTATCACAATTGACAAGACCAATCAAACGAATGAAAAGCCCTTCTGGAAAAAAAGGGGACCGCAGGCAGAAGCCTCTCTTTTCATATATATATATATATGAACATATAAAGAATACATTTATGTATAGATGTTCTATTTTTACTTTTCGGCCTTTTAAATTATTGTTTACGAACCCAAAGGCACTCTAGTCTCAGCCTAAGGGATCCAATGCCAATAAACAACTATTTTTAAATATACATGTATGCACAATATCACAACACGTGGCTCCCTTGGTTACTGCCACGTCAGTTCGGTGGATCCACATGAGTATGCTCTTATATATCTTTGCATATATATTAAGATTACAGATATGAAGTATATGGGTTCTCCTTTACATCAAGAATCTAACTGGCCGTCTTCCAAAAATTATTGGCAGTATATTTTAAAAGAGATGATTTTCCCCTATAAATTAGATGAAACTAAGACCTCGGTGTATAATACGGTGGGCCGAAAACAAGCCGATCGTTAGATATCTATTTAAATCATTGTGACATTGTCCGATGTCAATTAAGGATCACGATAGTATATATGTTACGTTGGCTGAAAAATATAAATTACGAGTTTTGTAATTTTAAAAAAAAAAATTGTCAACACAATATTTATTTGCTACCCATTTCTTTTATAAAAGGTTAGTATAATTGCGATTATTAAATTGATGATAGTAACAGTGTAACGTTGTCACATATTATAATTAGGGGTGCAGAAAAATAAAACAAGGAGGAAAAGGACCACATAAAAATCAGAGTCACATGATTAAGGGGGAAAAGATAAAGCATCCGCAAGGAGTTTGGTCGGTTCGGGGAAAAGTCGATGATTACTTCCAACGGTTTTGGTCAAAGCATTAGAAACTCTCGTGTCATCATTCATCACATGTGCCTCGTCCAATATTTTAGTCCAATTCCATTTTTCCGTATATATGTATGTATATATGTGAAGTTTTAGTTATCTTTCACTATATTATAAAAAGGGTATTGAGTGAAAAATTAAGATTTTACAGTGATTTTTTTTTATAACCGGATATTTTGGACTAAAATCCAAACTAATCCCGAAATTGGAAGTCAATTGGATAATTTGGAATATACGTTTTCTCTAAACTTGAGGTTCGAACTTGAGACGGAATAAACACTTTGTATCTATGTTTTACCTGTTGAATTATCCAATTTTTTTTTCGGTGACCTAAATATACGCATTGACGAGTTAAGAAATATTTCTTATTCGCTAGTATACGCATACGAGCTCGCATTAAACTCGTTAATTTCAAGATTAATTTAATTAACAACTTCTACATATATATATATTACATGGATATATATGAAAATTAATTAGAGGGAGGGTATTAGCATGAAATAATAGAAATGGAGATAGTATACTATATTAATCGCTATAAGATAAAGTTGGGTAAGAGTAGTGATTAGAAGGGCACATGGACGCATATTCTCATGCATGAACAAAATCAACAGCATGCACATACACTCACCTTCTCAAATGCAACATGCATTAATCATTATGGTCAAAGCTCTTAGATATCCACTGACCTCTTTTGGTTTATGTTAATTGTTTTTTTTTAAATGCTAAATCGGTCCACATCATTGCCACGTATCTGTGTATATATATACGTATATATATTCATGGGCCATTTATATATATATACACGTACATTTGTTTTGGGAGGCCCGTGGGCTCATAATGAATAAAATATAAAATCTGTGGGCCCAAAATTTCACTGGGCTTTACCTAAACATGCCCTTGCATATGAAGAACCCATTGGGCCACTCCAGATCTACATTTTAATAATTTAGAAAACTTTTTTTTTTTTAAAAAAACAGTCAAAATCCCTTGGGGAACATATTGGGCTATAAGTTTGACTAGGTCCGACGCTCATATCTTAAAACTTTAGTCATTTATATTCGAATGTATATGATTTAAATAACAGGATTATTGCAATGTTAAAAATACTCGTAATAACCGTGTGAGATAATAAATATATAATCATCAATAAATAGGAGAGTCTGTGTGTGCCGATCAATAAATATATTGTATTAGTGGGGATTATACTTCAAGAGACCAGCTGGTTAGGTACTACTACCCGATCCAGATGTACTTTTAATAGCACAGACCAAACAATATTTTATGCCTAACAACATATTCTCTCTGTAATAACATTTGTTTTTAAATTATTTTAGGGCTTAATCGATATGGTGAGGTGTTGGACTAACGATTTCAGACAAATAATGCGAATTTGCTATTCACTTATGGAAAATTAAATATCGGAAAATATCCAATGTAATAAATAAAATTGTTTGTTTTTTTGTGCAAAAGTAGTTATGGCTAAGGAACATATCACTTGGGGGTGTGACAGAAACGAACCCAAGTGGCCTTCCATTGCTTGCGGAAGTAAATGAAGTGGAAAATACGGGAAAGTGGGAATTCCAGCAAACAGGCGATCCGCTCTAAAAGATAATGTATGGTTTTTATAAAATAATAATAATAATAATAATCAAAGTCCACTCCAATCATTTTCGTCACAGGGTCGCTGATCCAACAGCTGAAGCAACTGCAACGACCGTATCATCTTCAATGGCCATGATGACGATCCTCATCGCCGGAGAGTTGACTTTTTCCAAGTGGGTCGTCGCCGGCCAAAACCGCCGGCACAAGCTCCAGCTCCGCCGGTAAATTCAGATCGAACCCACGGTGACTCGGACTCGATTCTTCTTTCACCGATTCCCATAAAGATCTTTCATCCCCATCTCCATCGCCGTTACGGATGTAGCTACTACCGTTACCGTTACTGCCGTCATAGTGGCACCGCTTGTGTCCGCCCAGAGCTTGACCGGACGGAAAAGCCTTGAAACATATCGAACACGTATGTGTTCGGCCGCTCTGACCGCCGCCGACCGCACTATTGTTATTACCCGAACTGATGTTGTTGTTGCTGTTGCTATTAGACTGGTCGTCGCTTCCGGGGCTCGGTTTACGATGACTGGTCTTGTGTCCACCCAAGGCTTGATAAGACGGGAAGGTCTTGTGACAGACCGTACACTTGTAGCCATGATGGTTGGACGGCCGAGGAGGAGGAGGAGATGGGTCGTGGCGGGGGGCACGCCGGAGAGTTGACTTTTTCCAAGTGGGTCGTCGCCGGCCAAAACCGCCGGCACAAGCTCCAGCTCCGCCGGTAAATTCAGATCGAACCCACGGTGACTCGGACTCGATTCTTCTTTCACCGATTCCCATAAAGATCTTTCATCCCCATCTCCATCGCCGTTACGGATGTAGCTACTACCGTTACCGTTACTGCCGTCATAGTGGCACCGCTTGTGTCCGCCCAGAGCTTGACCGGACGGAAAAGCCTTGAAACATATCGAACACGTATGTGTTCGGCCGCTCTGACCGCCGCCGACCGCACTATTGTTATTACCCGAACTGATGTTGTTGTTGCTGTTGCTATTAGACTGGTCGTCGCTTCCGGGGCTCGGTTTACGATGACTGGTCTTGTGTCCACCCAAGGCTTGATAAGACGGGAAGGTCTTGTGACAGACCGTACACTTGTAGCCATGATGGTTGGACGGCCGAGGAGGAGGAGGAGATGGGTCGTGGCGGGAGCCACGAGCGAGCATGAGGAGGCAGAGAGCGAGATACTCTTCCTCGGAAGGAGGGGTCGTGCTCTTATTATGGGTCGTACTCTGATCATCCAAACGCTGTCGTTTCGTACGTTTCCTCTTCGTCCATGTCTCGAGATTCTCCGCCTCCGCTTCATCCCGGCAGCGGAGGAGCGGAGGAGCGGCCGTCGCGGTTGACGTCGGAGAATTGAGGGCGTCGAGGGCCATGATGGGTTTAGATTGAATCAATATGAGTGGTATGTATATGTATATATACGTGTGTGTGTATATACAGAGGAGGAGGAGGAGGAGGAGGGAGAGTGGAGTGAGCTGTGGGGTGAGTGAGAGGAGATGGGAGCACGTCCTCTGTTATTTAAAAAGTTAGTTGATGAAAATTTTGTAATTGATTATTTGGTTCGCCTGTGAGAAAGAGTGGGAACGTGGGCTCTAAGTGATCAAGTGGTGCTGAACTGTGATTCCTTCATTCCCTCTATATTTTTTTCTTTCTAATTACATAAATTATAACAAAAATATTAATAATAATTACCATGGAAATACACGGAATTTCCTTACCAAGTCAATGCAGAAATGATCAAATTCCCTATTTTTTTCCCCTTCCATTGACTTAACTCAAAACTTGAAGCAATCAAGGTCAATGCATACACTAACTATGGTAAATACCGTACATATACACTGATCATTATTGGGAAAACTGGATTGAATAGAATTCGAAGGGATCCTTAGGACAGTTGTTCTTTAAATTGAGTGCCATATCTTTGGAGTAAAAAGGTTTGGGAGAATCTTTTTTTTTCGCCTGCGCTTGCTGAGTTGGCACGATGCCGTTGGCTGAAACACAACTGGATCCTTCTGGTGAGACACGTGGCGTCACATCAATGGTTGGAGTTTTGGTAGAGACTTAAAAAGAGGGTACGAGATTCCGCTCACGCGACTTGACGGTGACCGTTCGTTCCACCACCGCCAACCACCACATCACCGTCAATGCAAATATAAGCTAATCGGTCGACATATTTAGTGTGCAAGGAAAAAAAATACTTTGATATATTATTATTACGATGATTAGTATTATTATTATTATTATACACATAGTTCATGTGGACATTTTACTCTGTAATAGATGCTTTCAAAGTTAATATACCAACGGTTCAGAATGTATGTGTATATATATATATATATATTTGTGTGAAATTTGGTCACCAGTCTCCAACCACAATTACCTCTAATTTATACTAAACTATATATATTATTAATCGCAATTGGGGTTTATTTTTTTAATTTTCATTGAAGTTGGGTGTGGACGGGGTGTTTGGAATTTTTATGGAATCAATATCATAATTGATTTTGTGTTAGAATTCTAGTCAACTATGAACCGTTCAAAATAATCTAAAGGCTAAAAGTTATAACATACGATGCAGAATTGAACATCCATAATTCATCAAAAGCAATTTACTTAGAATTGATGTAGCAGAGACATACAAGACTAAAAAGAAACGAAAGAAGAAAATAAATAATATCTCGAAAATTTACCAAAAAAAATATGTCGAAACAATTTTTAAAAAGGGGACAAAAAAAAGAAAGAAATAGAATCTCGTGGAAGCCCATAAAAAAGATTACCGGGCCTAAGCGTGCATAAGCCCAAAAAAGATATTCCATATGAGTGATAGGCCCATTACCATATGAGCTCTGATAGTTATGCCACGAAGATATTAATTTTATATATTAAAATTTAAGAAAAATCCCAAAAAGATATATTTGTCAATTTAAAAAAAAATAAAAGATAAAATTTATTTTTGGTTAAAGAAAACCTTGATTTGATTTTTATATTATAAATAAATCTAAATTGTATAATAGTTATGGTTTTTAAACTTATAGCGTAACTTATCGATTTTGGGATGTTTAGATGATGCGTTAAATACGATCAAAATGTTATTTTAATATTTACGATATCAGCATGATATGTTAGTATTCAAATTTAAAAATAATAACGATTATAAAGATTAATAAGTTTATTTGATAAATTCGAAATTTTATTTGATAAAAAATAAAGTTTAGATTTTATTTTATAAAACTTAATAAGTTTAATTATTTTTTGAAATTTTGCCTCAAATTTATTGGGCTAATTTTATTTATTACAAAATTGGTTAAAGATTAATTGTTTAATCAGTCAATCTCTTTTGCTGTTTAGATGTGACGGACTATTTAAAATGGTGCTCAATTTCGATAGAGACCCAAAAGAAAAAATAGAATCAGGAACCGAGAAATAAAAACATGCGAAACTAGAGATTAGTACAAAATAACTTAACATGTCACAGACCAATTGCAGGATTATCTTCCTAAGGCCTCCTCCATCAGACAACTTCCATGGCTGACACCGACGAACTCAACTCAGAATAAACCGGCAATGCATATAACCTGCAACCAAAAAAAAAAGAAAATCCAAATTGGCAGATGAACAACATAACACAATTCCGAAATTCCACTGATTCTAACGAAAAAAGGCTGTGTTTTTGCTTACTTGGGTCAGCAGTGATGAGAATGGCGGTGCCACCGAATGAGCAAGTGCCGCCATTTCTCTTGGTCTTCTGCCAGTAACTGTTGAAGGCGTAAGAAGCATGAGCCACGACTGTGTCAGGGTAAAAGCAGCTTCCATGGCTCCTGATCTCATCGCAGTCGGCTCCTCCTTCTCCGCATGCGAAGTCCAACGCTTGCTGCAGTGTCTCCTCCGCCACGCTCGGCTTTGCCACGCACCACAGCCCTTCCACCGCATTCTTTGGCGGAGGAACCACGGCGGTGAACCGCCCAGGTGGAGCGCACGGAGGGAGGGAGTAACCTGGGGCTGAGACCGGTGGGTTGTAGGCCTGAGGAGGAAGCAACGTCGGGCCTGCTGCGGCGGAGGAGAGCGGCGGGTGAGGAATAGGGTTTCTAGCTACGCTGGCCGGAGCTGAGAATCCGATTGAGGGGTGGATTGGGGATATTTCTGGTAAAGGGTTAACGGTTTCGCGGCTAATGTCGACGAAAGATCTCAGTTTTCTTTTGATAACGATGGATTCAGCATCTTCCGGTTCAGGGTTTATGAAATTCACCTTGTAGAAGCCCAAAGACTGGAACTTTTTCATTGAACGAAGCATAAAGAGGTGATGATCTGGTGAAGAGGGAAAATTCCGAGGTGTGTTTATGGTGAAAGTTGAGTTAACGGATCGGAGAAAGGGAGCAAGCGACTCGATAACTTCTTCATTTGTTTTGTCAGTGTTCAAGCACTGGTAAGAGAAACCAGAGGAGACCTTGATGTCTTTCTCAAGACCCCATCTAACAAGCGAGTGGTATATGTTCTTCAGGGAAAGCAGACACCGAACAGAGTTGTGTTCTTCTTGCTGGGGAGTTTGGCAGAAACCAGGGACAAAGACAACAACGGCGGTGATTCTGGCGGAAGGGTAGCGAGACAGGACGAGGGTTCTCAACCAAGTTTCAGCGTTTACGACGCTGGAGGAGATCTCGGCAATGGTTTTGTCATCACTGACGGAAACAGCAAAAGCAAGATCATCACTTTGAGGAAGGTCAAGGACTCTTTGGTGGAGATTCACGGCTCCAATGAATGATGATGATGATGATTGACCAGCTCCTGCAGTAATATCAGAAAAAAGCATTTTTTTATTTTTCTCGAGATAAGAATGAGATTCTGAGCTGGGATTGATGCTTACCGGCAAGACCCAGAAGGGGAATGAAGAAGAGAATGTGATAAGGACGACATGCCATTGTATGGTTAGTACAAATTACAAACCCAAACTCGCAGTTTCTGTTCTTTGGTACTGAGAAGTGAGACTAGGTGTGTGTATAAAAAAAGATGGGTTTGGAGTAAAGAGGAAGGAAAAAAAAAGATGGTAATTTACTTTTTTTTTTTTTTTGCTTTTCGGTTGTTGTGTTGTACAAGGACAAGGACAAGGACAAGGGCTGTTGTGTTTTGAAAGCTTTTTTTTGGTCGTGGCGGCATAAACTTACAAAATATCTGCAGTTTTTATTGCTCATAATGCATCGGCCATTTTTTGACCGCCGAGTTGGAATGAGCCGTACAGGGACACGTGTCGTTAAAACGCGGAAAGGGTAATTGTCGTCTGACTTTGAACACGTAGGCGCTCTAGGGTTTATGGAGAATCATGAAATGCCAATCATCCAATGCCACAATATTCATGATCCAGTTACATATACATCCCAAATGAAATACAAATCTTGTATCAATTAGAATATTCTCATTATTTCCCCTGTTTGAATCGATTTAAAACAAGGCTGGCTGCTTTGTGAAATATAAATAAAAAAATCGGTTTGACCGGAACGACGCCGTCTGGCGAATCCAGATGACGAAACAAGCCGGCAATGCACGAAAAGGCACAAATATCATGGATGGACCGGGCCCACTTGACCTTTTCGGAGAATCAGTAGGGTCCATTTTTTTATGTGTTAGTACGACGTCGTATCCACCAATCCCTAAAACTGGTCATACCAACTTGCGGGGCCTTGATCTCCGAAGTGCCGCTCAAAATGGGCTCGGTAATAATATTTACAATACCCATTTTTTTATATATAATTTTATAATGCAAAAGGAACCAAAATATCAAAATATTTAATTCCAATTGGATAGATATAATTGATGCCATATTAGTACGCAAGTATTTCATGTGAAGTGAAGTGGGATTCTTAGATTGCTGTGAAAGTTTTGAATAATCCTTTCATGATTATGGCAACTGTAACAGTGATTTGTCGAGTGCTTTATCATGATTACGCTTCAATTATTATTATTTTTATTAATTATAGAGGATTAACGTAAACAAATATACTAATTTCGGTCCTTTTTTAATAATATTTTTTAAAAGCAGTCTCGGCCCTGTCACGCATAATAAAATATAAATAAATTGGAAAAAGTCGTATGAAATGAAAAGTTAGAGGTCGAATGTTAAATTTGTTATGTAAGTGTCCTTTCCGTCGTGTATTTACGAAACAAAATTAAATTGACCAGAGTTGGACGTAAAAGGACATTCGCAATCTCTATTTTATACGGCAGATTAGTGGGTATATACGTAATTTTGGTGCCCCAAATGCTGTACCACTTCGCCGAAGTGGATCCTCGCCTTCCACGTGGTTTTAAAATTAAGTAGGTTCTCCATATACATACCTTTATTTTTTGCAATTGCAATTCAAATACTAGATGGTTTTTAAAATTAAATAAAATATCAAGAAGTTCGGACATCATTAGCCATGTGATAACACATAGTTGTTGATTTTATGAAGTGCAAATATGTGTCGAATAAATGAGAAATATCGTCGGAGTTATATTTTGATAAATTAAAATGCTGACGTCAGCGTCATCATCCCTTTTTTTCTTCCTCCAAACACACTCTTCCTACCGGAGACACCGGCAAATGAAAACCGAAAGAGACAAAAAGAAGAAGAGAGCAGGAAGAAGATGAACTTAGAGAGAGAATATTTGTCTGGCACAGTTAATCAAGGTTCGCCATGACAGCTCCCCACTCCAGTTTCTTCGCCTTCCTCTCCCTCCTCTCGATATTTCTCTTCCCTTTATCCTTCGTCATTCCCCTAGCTGGAAGTGGAGCCGTTAGGGCAATCCAAGTTGGTAGTCGAGTTGCCGATGTTCACCGGAGAATTCTGCATCAGCCGTTTTTCCCGGAGAATTCTCCTCCGCCGTCGGCCACCGAGTCGCCACCATCTACTCCGGAAACTCCCGGCCAGCCATTCTTCCCGGAGGTACAGTCCACGCCTTACCAGATCCAGTCTCCTCCTCCTCCAGCTACCGGTGCTGTCGATGGCGGATTGCCAATTTCGCCAATTTCTCAACCTGTGAAACCGGGGAAGAAAGTCGTGACCGCCATATCCGTTGGGATTGTCACGCTCGGTATGCTCTCTGCTCTGGCTTTCTTTTTATACCGACACAAAGTGAAACACGGGAGCGAAAGTCAGAAGTTCGTTAATGGAGTCGTTGATGGCGGTTCGCACATGTTTGAGGAAGATCCGAGGCCACCATCGTCCAACTTTCTCTATATAGGAACCGTTGAGCCGAGTCGAGGATCAGCGAGTGAGTCGAACGGTGGAAGCAACGGAGCGGTGTTGCCGTACCGGAAGCTGAATTCGGTCAAGATATCGGATAGGTATCGGCCGAGCCCGGAGCTTCAGCCACTTCCACCATTAGCTAAACCGCCACGGTCTGCGAATTCGCCGTCGGTGTTGTCTCTATCGCCGTCACATTCATCTTCCGACGAAGCGAGCCGAGACACGGCCTTTTACACGCCGCACAGATCCACCATCAGCAACTTTGATGGTTACTACACGCAGTCTGCTCAGTCCGTAAATGGTAACGGCCATTCCGTCGGCTCGGTTCCTCACTCCAAGAGAACTGCTCCGAGGTTTGCAACAAAAGACGCGACGGTGGCTTCGTTGTTGCCAGAGATGAAGCACGTCATCATTCCCTCGATAAAGCAGAAATCACCTCGTCCAGTAGATATTCGGCAAGAGCTTCCCGATTCTTTGGACAAGCCTAAGTTTTCGCCGCCGCCACCTCCACCGCCGCAGAAGCGGCCGGCAGATTTCCAGATACAGCGTAAGCACAGAGGATCTGAAGTACCCACTCCGACAACGTCAAAGGAGCCTTCGAAGAAACAGGAATTCAGGACTCCAAGCTCCAAATCCAAGCATGACGAAGAGATTAACGGTAAATCAGCTGGTTCATCTGAAAAGACGGGAGATGGGGAAACTGAATTAGGTAGGCCGAATCTGAAGCCGGTCCACTGGGACAAAGTGCGTGCGAGGTCGGACAGAGCGACTGTTTGGGACCAGCTCCAATCAAGCTCATTTCAGTGAGTAACACTGCTTTCTACCATGTCCGTATACCAGGTTCTTAAAGTTTGGTGCTTTCTGAGAGAGTGATTTCATCTTAAGGTATGAAACAGGTTGAACGAGGATAGGATGGAACATCTATTTTGGTTGCAATCCGAACAATTCAACAACAAGAGAAACTGTAAGAAGATCGGTACCGCCTCCATTGGAGAACGAACAGAGTATTAGACCCAAAGAAGTCTCAGAACATTGCCATTCTTCTAAGAGCCCTGAATAAGTGAATATAACGCCGGAAGAGATGTCCAAAGCCTTGTTGGATGGTTAGTCATTGTCTCTCTTTTGGTTTTGTCATCTGGAAACATTTTGCATTTGAGTATTTGTCACGTAACCAACGGTAGGTCCCTGAAATTCTGTATGTGATCAGAGAACTTTCTCTACAACTCTAGATTTAAGATTCTACTGTCCGGCACAGAAACTGTTCTTGAGTGATGATGGGTCATGTGTAGATGTATCATATTATATGGATAGTGAAAGGATGACATCCGCCCAGAAAGTATATGAGTGCCTCTGGTAATTCTAGGTTGCTGGGAAGAGAAATGATACTAACAAGGCTTAGTCCACAAGTTATGAATTATAATCATTGCGACGAACAATGATATGTGAGATGGTTTTCTCCATGCTTTATAATGCTTCTGGCATGTCTGTGAGTTATTATTATTATTAAAGGAACCCCCATTGAGAGGAAGAAAGAGACTGTTCACTAATCTTATAAGACAAGTGTGGACGAGTCAAAGATAAGTTTTCTTGAACTAAAAACATATGTCATTTGGTAATGATCTTGGCCTAGACTCCTAGTTCAGTTTCAGCCTGGGTTTTGATCAATCTGTGATATTGTAACAGGTAACCCCGATAGTGTAGGTGCCGAGCTTTTGGAAACACTTGTGAAGCTGGCCCCGAGCAAAGAGGAAGAGATAAAACTTCGAGGATACTCTGGAGATGCATCCAAACTAGGAACAGCCGAAAGATTCCTTAAAACCATTCTTGATATACCCTTTGCCTTCAAAAGGGTCGAAGCCATGTTGTATAGAGCCAACTTTGATGCGGAAGTTAAAGTATTTGAGCAACTCTTTCCAGGCACTAGAGGTACTCCATATTCCACCTTTCTATCAGGGAAGAGAGAGTCTTTTCAACTTAAAACTTGCTCATGCTTTCTAGGATGCAAGCAAGGAACTACAGAACAGCAGGCTATTCCTCAAACTCCTGGAAACTGTTCTAAGGACAGTAAACAGAATGAATGTAGGAACTAATCGTGGGGATGCCAAAGCCTTCAAACTCGATACCCTTTTAAAGCTCTCGGACGTCAGGGGTACTGACGGGAAGACCACATTGCTCCACTTTGTGGTCCATGAAATCAGCATATCCGAAGGTATGGACTCTAGCCTTCACCTGACAGAAAAGGACGACGGATTCAGAAAACAAGGACTACAACTAGTGGCAGGACTCGGCAGAGATCTCGGTAACGTGAAAAAGGCGGCGGGAATGGACTTTGATGTTCTGAGAGGTTACGTGTCAAAGCTCGAAATGGGTCTGGACAAGGTGAGGTATGTTCTGAAACACGAGAAGCTGGAAACAGAGCCGGGGAAACTGTCCGATTCAATGAAGAAGTTCATCAAAGAAGCAGAGGAAGAATCAGTAGGGTAAAGGGAGATGAAAGAAGGGCGTTATGGTTAGTGAAGGAAGTGACAGAGTACTTCCACGATGGTGGTGGTAAAGGGACTTCCTCAAAACACTGGATAATGTCTGTAAGGAAGTGAAAACGATGCAGGAGAGACCAGTGATGGTGGGTTCCGCTAGATCACTCCGAATATCTGCAACTGACTCATGACAAGACAGAAGCTCAGATGGATATCATAGCTTGTCCCCATTGTACAGTTTTTTTTACAACGACAGGGCAATTCTTTAGAACAATGATCCATCTTTATTTAGTTATGTTTTTATGTCTGCATTTCATATTTTCCCATTCTATTATTGTAGCAAGGGTCAAATTTTACATAATTCCAAATGATTTTTAATTTTTTTTGCCAGGAAATAGTTTTCATTGTAAAATTGTTAATTCTTCAGTTGAAGTGCTTTATCATTGAACTCAAAACAAGAGAAATAGTACAAGTGGTTTGCGAAAGATGATACCTCAAAGGCTCAAACATTGGCCATATAAGATTTTAGACATCCAAAGCCAACAACGGACATCATATTATATCTCTTTCCCAATAAAACCATGATCTATTACTCTAATTACAGATTTGCCATCCTTACTTATTTCCTTTGAAAACACAATTTTTCACCCAAATTCGGTAGCCATGAACCATCGATTCCAGAAATTCTTTAACCACTATTCGATATTCGTAAGGAAGGTACCGAGGATGAAGCGGCAGCCTTAGAAATCGGAGCAGCGACCGCCGCGTTCCCAGTCGCCGTACCGAGTCGGCTCAGGGCCCCTCGGCCCTCCGACCTCTCCAGTCTCTTTGTTCACGAACTCTCCACCTTCCTCTCCTTCTTCCCCATCCTTCGTCATCTTCAGATTCTGTTGAACGCTTTCGTCTCGTTCATCCTCCCGATTCTGATTCGGCGGAGGCGGAGGCGGTGGAGGAGAAGTAACGGTGCTCAGAAGCCGAATCATCGACTCGTGCAACCCGACGGGTCGACTCGCAGAGATTAGACGGGCGATGTTGTTCCTCGTCATTCTTGGATCGTGAAATGACGAGCAACAGAGTCTAGGGCTATGATCGGATCGAAATAATATATATATAAGTTTGAAAAAGCATATTTGGGTTTTGACTCTTTTGAAGCCCATTGAGCTTTTGTTATCCACAAGGATTCAACAAAATTACCCAATGGGCTTTAAAATCCATGTTTTGGTTTCATTGAGGTTTTTGGTTTGTCTGTTACAACCTCACGTCACTAACAGTAGCTTTAACATTTATGCTTCTTTTTTTTCGTTTTCCCTCCTTTTTCTATAATTCAAATAACCTGAGATTGGGAAGGCAGAGACACGTGCTTCATTGTTTTTGTTCCTTGAAGAAAATGGAGGAGAGGCTCCGGTCGTGTCTCCAGTCTTCCGCCGCTGAATTCCTCTCCGTCGCCGTGAAATTGAGTATCAAATCCTCTAAACCGTCGCTGAAGACAGTCATTCACGCCGTGAAACCCTCGTCGGACCTCCCCACCTCTCTCTCTCTCGCCCTTCACCAATCCATTGTTCACTTCACGGATTCCTTCCAGAAACTTCTCGAGGATCCTCCTTCTGCCCCCTCTCCCTCCAAATCGCCTCCTACCAAGCGCCGTCGAAGTAGCCGATCCAGACCCGATGAGAATCGGTCGAATGACACAGATCAACAGAGGCGGCAGATTTTCGACTCTCTCCAGGTCCTTTCTCACATCGTCTTTCTCTGCGTTTCGAGTCCCAAAAATGCATTTCCCCCCTCCGATTTGTTGCCTGCTGCTCAAGTTTTGCACGACAATCTTATAGCCTTTGAGTCGGATCCGGGTCTGAGCAACGAGATCGCGGGTTTGTGCGAGTGCTGGTGGAGGGAAGGATTCGAGGGTAGAGAAACCCTAATTACTCAATCATTACCGTTTCTGCTATCGCGGGCACTGACCTTGAAGAAGAAAGTCGATGTGCATCGAGTCTATGCGCTGAGGGAGGGATTTGCATTGTTTGAATTTGAGGATGAGAGCATTGAGGACCTTAGGATGCTGCTGATGCGGTGCATGGTTTCACCTTTGTTTGTAAAGACAGAAGAAGGGCGGAGATTCGTTGCCTATACATTGGGGCTTAGCCTTCAGCTGATGAAGGCGGCTCTTGCTGTCGTTAAGGCTCAGATTCCCTTTGGTAGAAAATCGGTGCTCGAGGGGTTTGGGGACATTCTCTTTAGGGTTTGGAAAGAAGTAGGAGGAGATTTGAAGGGTGAGATTGAAGATGGGTTTTTGCAGGGTATGATCGATAGCGCCATACATGCTAGCTCCTCCTCATTTGCAGCCTCGCTTAGGAGGGTTTTTGGAGGGTTTATCAGTCAGCGGACTACTGAAGGAGTTGAGAAGCTTCTCTTCCACCTAGCTGAGCCAGTCATATTTCGTTCATTGCAGGTTAGTTTCGGAAGTATTTACGTCAATTCGTCAAATATTTTGTTTTGTAAGTTTTGCTGTGGAGTATTAGGTGAAGGAATATGGGATCTTGTTCAAGCTATGGGTATGAGAACATTTTGCTATCCTTTGTATCTTTGCAGGTTGCAAATTCCAATGTTCGTCTGAATGCTTTGCATTTGCTTTTGGACCTCTTTCCCATGGAGGATCCTGATGCAACAAAAGAAGCTAAAGATACTTTGCTAGACAAACAGTTCTACTTGTTGGAAAAGTTGCTGAATGATGATTGCCTGGATGTGAGAATTGTTGCGGTGGAAGGTCTCTGCCGAGTTCTGTTTCTGTTCTGGGAAGTGATCCCTTCGTCAGTAATTACCAAGACCATCACTAAACTGATCGAAGACATGTCACATGAATCGTGCAGTGAGGTTAGGCTCTCGACGGTCAATGGAATTATTTATCTCCTTGGGAATCCACAATCCCATGGAATTCTTAAAGTTCTTCTGCCAAGACTTGGACATCTGATGTTAGATAATGTTACTTCTGTACGGGTTGCCATGGTTGATATGCTTCTCCATCTGGGAGACATTCGGACATTCCAGTTTAACAAGGTACAATGTTCTTCATGTCCCTGAGAGTGAGCAATACAATCGTTTATTTCCGTAAGTTGCTGGTTAAACAATTTCCTCATCACATTGCAGGTTGTGAGTTTGGATGTCTTGTTATCTGTGCTTGCCATGGATCATATCCAGGTTGCCGAGGGGATTGCTCGATTGCTAATTCCATCATATTTCCCATCGAGAGTAAAACCTGAGGAGGCCTGTGATCGATGTGTGACCCTAATTAAGCGAAACCCAACGGCCGGTGCCAGGTTTTGTCAATTTGCTGTGTCACTTGGAGCATCCCTTAAATCTGTTCTGCAGCTGGTAGGAGTCTTTGTGAATTTAGTCTGGTCACTTGATAAGGTAGAGGGAAACCAAATTGAAGGCTTGCTTCTTGCTGTTAGCTACCTCTGCAAGGATCTTGTTACTGATTCTAGTTGTCTGGCCTCCCTCAAAGATTTGTTGCCTGGAGAAAAATTGAAGTGCTTGCTAGCTGTTGCACCTACTCCACAAGCTCATTCCTCTGTCTTTGATATTGTTTCTCTCGTCTCTCCTGATATTGTGTCTGGCCTCCTTGATGATTGTATGAAATTAATTGCTGATTGCAGTGGTTTGTCAGGAGATGCAGGACGGCAGACTGAGTTGAGGTCTGTTCACAAGTTACTTCTGTCGTGTAATGCCTTTGATGACATGGTTGAAACTTTTACCAGACTCCTGCAGAAGGCTGCTTATCGTTGTCATATAAATTTTGGCTGCGAAATAGAAAAAGGGAGCGTCTCTTCGTTGAAGAGGAAGAAGTCTAAGACCTCTGCAAAATCTTCTGTCAGATGGAAACATGTTAGTAGGAAAAAGGCCTCCAGTTTCGAAGAAGATTACTTAATTGCTGTAGGAGTTGCCTGGCAAATAAAGGATTTACTAATATCTGAGGACACCTGTAAAGTTCTACTCGGGTCTGATATCGAGGATCTATTCCTTGCCTTAAAAGTTGTTTCCGAGACGACAATTCTGCAAGCTTCTTGCTCTGCCTACTTGGATGTGTACCCTGTATTGGCATATACAGCTCTTGCTTTGCGCATGACTCTTCAGAATGCGAATGCTCATTCTCAGAAGAAAGAACTGACCCCAAGCTTGATTTCTGAGGTAAGAAATTTTTTTTCCCTACTTTTCCCTTTTGAATCTGCAGTCTTTACCTAATGAGAATGAGTAGTATCCACTGACATCTAATCTTCCAGAAACTTTATTTCTAGCAGACCATTCTGGAACAGACAATGGATCACATTCTAGGTTGTATAGATAAGCTATTTTCGGCAGGTAATAAACCGCCAGGCACTGTATGTCCAGAAGTTAGCCATAGCAAAAATACCACTACAAACAGCCACAGACAAAGGCACCGAGTATCTAAAACAAGAACTTTGAAGGCGGGGGTTGATGGTGAGTGAAGATTCAAAGAACAAGTTTATTTCCTATTAAGACACTGAAGAATGTAGCTTTTCTGAAATCTTTGTCTTGTTTCATGTAGTTTCTGTGGGATCAAAGCAGGGCATGGTCCTGAACAAGGTGAAGATGCTAACTACGATTCTCAAGTTTATTGTCGATTCTACAGAGATGGGTTTGGCTTCCCACCTTCAAGGAAGAAGCATAAAGTTTGCATCAGCTTATCTCAAACATGCCATTTCCATTGTCAGTGACCAGTCAACAGATAAGTTACAACTTGAGGATACAGAGTTGAAGGACATCATCCTGTGTCTGAAGAGCTCCACAAGTTATGCCGGAAAGTTCATCAGCCTAGTCCTTAGAGACATAACCGAAGATTCATGTCCTTCCTTTGAAGCTTTCGACCTTGTGAATGTCCTCCTTGATCTATTCACTTCGGTTGAGATTTCTCTAGGCTCTGCCTACGCATCAAGACTTGTTTCAGCACTAAACCCTTGGATTCCAGATTTGGTTCTTGCACTAGGGCCTTGTTTCATCACAAAAAATTCTGAACTAGAAAGTTTGCCCTCGACCTCCTTCAACCACCTCAAGCTTCACTTTCCACCATGGCTGGCGATATGGGCAAAGATCGAACTTCAAGAAGCAGGTGAAAACGATGAAGATCAACCCTCTGAAACTCTACAACTTCCAGCATTCAGAAAGGTGATGAACACCATAGTTTCATTGCTCAAAGTGAATTCCGAGGTATTAGATGCAGTGGGATCGGTTCTCTTGATAGGTTCGGGTCTCTGTATAGAGAAGAAGGATTTCGGTACAGCTTTTGGACTCTTACACTTTCTCTGCGTCAAGTTGCTTGGTAGAGAAGATAGAGAGTGGGAAGGGCTTCAGAAAATGATGGCCTCTCTCCCCAGCTTTTACCCTCTAATAGAGAGAGAGATCGATGAAGAAACCGATGAAGATGAGCTGAATAAACTCAGAAAAGCCAGAGATTTGCTTCAGCCAGTTTGGATGTACCATGTCTATGAAACTGAAAGGTTCTCCATGATGGAAGAAGAAGAAGAAGAAGAGTAGATGGAACACCGAACACTGTGTGTGTATTTAACCACCGGTTTAGTGTGTACCGGACAATAAACCGGTCTGTGTTGTAACGTCGGATAGAATTTTCCGGCCTAGTTTTCCGGTATTCATATATAACCGTAATCTGAATAATTCAAGATTTGGTTCACCGGTTTTCTGAAACGGTCCCTTGTGAGTGGGCTGTCACAGTTGGATTGTCACAGGCAGTAATAATAGGCGCAAAATTTCGCCATTTAACGTTCGTCGACAACGAATCCTTAACCGCTTTCCATTTTTCTCCCCTTCGCCTCTCTCTCTCTCTGTGTCTCCGGTCGACCATGAGCAAGGGACCTGGACTCTTCGCCGATATCGGCAAAAAATCAAGAGGTAATTTGTCCTTTGATCTTCTTCTTCTTCTGTTCTGATGCTTTAGTCGTTCCAGTTTTCGACGGAAATCGCGTGATTGTCACCGTATATACGGTTATACATGTATGTGTATCGAATAAATTGCTGCGTGTGTATCTATGTGCAATTTTGGCATCTCGTTTTGAATACTCGTATATGTCGTTGCGTGAATTTAAGCTGATTTTCTTGATTGTTGTGTTGTTTCTTGTTAGATCTGTTGACGAAGGACTACAATTCTGATCAGAAATTCAGCGTTTCCACTTACAGTGCCTCCGGAGTGGTGCGTATACCATCGATGTTTCGGTTTCCTGTTGGCTAGATTCGGAATGTGGATTGTGTTTCACTGTCTCGCCTCTGTTTATAGATTTCCAGTGCAATCCTTATGAATTGGCACTTGTGTTGAGTGGCTTGGCTTCTATCTGTTTTGGTTTCGTTGTTTTTCCGTAGTAATATGTGACATGACTTGGATTAGTCGAATAGATCTCATCTTTACTGATTTTGGTTGCATAGATGGCTCGATTGTATCTAGGTCATCCAAGTAGAATTTGTTTAGCTCTGCGGAGAGCAAGATTTCGGAGCTGAGCAAAAATACTGTCAAATAGTAAATACTACTACATTAACCATTTCTCTATCTATCTTGTTACCATCACTCTTATTGCTTTTAGGTTGTATTTTCTCCTGCTAATCAGTTATTGCTGTAAGCATAATGGCCTGACAAAGTTGGGGTAGTTCCAATTGTAGTTAATTGTCATATTTCTGCTTCTTGCTTCATCAGCCAAGGTAATGGAGCTATAGAATGTAAAGGGGATCGTCTTTCTACTCTATCCGAATCCTTAATTCCATGTAGCCTTGGTGGAATGTTTTCCTCCAAATTAGTGGCAGACTGATGATGGTGTTTCTTAACCTTTCTTCTGTTGTTTAGGCCCTTACATCCACTGCACTCAATAAAGGGGGAATCCACGCTGCTGATGTTGCGACGCAATACAAGTACAAGAACACCTTATTCGATGTCAAAATCGACACTGAATCAAATGTAGGTTAATCTCTATATGGTAAACAAATCCGCCCGGACGATCAAACTAGCTCTTGTACAAGCATCTAATACCTTTTACTTGTTGCCGGCAGATCTTCACGACCATCACATTCAATGAGGTCCTTCCATCCACAAAATCCATTGCCTCCTTCAAAGTGCCTTATTACAGCTCTGGCAAGGTTTGAAGCTATGAACCCAACAAAAATCAGGACCCATTTCAAACCTTTTAATAGTTACCCGTCTATGGGTTTGATGCCCTGCTCTTTTACAGCTGGAGGTTCAATACTTCCATGACCATGCAACTCTCACGGCTGCTGCAGCTCTGAAGCAAAACCCTCTAATAGACATAACAGCTACTCTCGGTACACCAACCATCGCATTTGGCGCAGAAGCTGGATACGACACTGCTTCCAAAGCTTTCACCAAGTACAATGCTGGGATTAGCGTGACAAAACCAGACGCTTGTGCTTCCCTAATACTGTATGGCAATTTCGATCAATTTGATTGAGAGAAAGATCTGTTTAGATAATCGTGATTGCCTATGACATCTTAATCCTTTCTGCTGAAGGGGAGACAAGGGAGACTCGATAAGAGTAACATACATGCATCACCTGGACGGATCGAAGAAAAGCGCAGCGGTGGGAGAGGTCTACAGGAAGCTCTCGACGAATGAGAACACCATAACAGTGGGGGGATTATACGCAGTTGATCACTTGACGAACGTGAAAGCAAAGCTAAACAGCCATGGTAAACTTGGAGCGCTTATTCAACACGAGGTTGTGCCGAAATCACTAATGACTCTCTCTGGTGAGATCGACACAAAGGCATTCGACACGTACCCCAGGTTTGGTCTGTCTTTGGCGCTCAAACCTTGAAATACACGTAGACTCCCCTCAGATTCACCACTTACTTACCTTTTCAATAATCAGTTCCGTAGGATTTATTCTTCTTTAGACCCTTTTTTTGGGACTGAGCTAGTGAGCTGTATTCCTTTTTTTGCCCGTTAATCATGAGGACGTACCAATTTCTGCAACCGGACCCCAATCAATTTGTAACACCCCAATATGTCAAATGTCTAACGATATCCTATCAGCATAAGAAACAGAGCAACGACCAACAGATCATGAAACCAAAGATTCATACAAGCAACCAGAAGAAAAATTAACTTAAGGGCAAGCAAAATTGGTTCATAAACATTCCTCGCACGTTGTCTTGAGAAACAAAACAAACATTTCATGTCCGAAACCAAATCCTAAATTCCTTCGCAACCAGAAGAGTAAACACTGAAAAAACATAGATAAACCTGGGAAAACGTTTTTTGTTGTTGTGGATCAGTCGACGTTCTGCATAATATCCTCCGTAGTGAACTTGGTACCCTTGTCCTTGTCGGCAGCGGCCCGACCCTTCGCCTTCCGATCCAACAGAGACTTCCTGTCCTTGTCCAGCCTCAGCTTTGTTATCATCACCTTCGACGGGTTCACCCCCACGTTCACCGTCGTCCCGTTCACCTTCTCCCGTGTGATCCTCTCAACGTGGATCACCCACTTGCGCCGGTAGACCTGCACGACCTTTCCCTCCCGACCCTTGTACGTCCCCCTAACGACCTGGACCTCGTCGTCCTTCCGGATCGGCATGGATCTGACGTTGTACTTCTGTCGCAGATCGGCGGAGAGCGGCGCGCTCATCAGGACGCGCCTCACGCTCGACGGAGCTGTGAAGTGAGCCTTCCGGTTCTTCCGGCGAGACGAGCTTACGCGCGGGTTGTACTTCATCTTCTCCCACTCGTTGCTTCTCTCCTCTCTCCCCCTGTGAAAGAAATGACAGGATACTAGGGGTTTTTGCGGCTGCGACCGCAAGTAATACCTTCAAGGAATCTGAAGATGACACAAACGGTGTCGTTTCAGTTGGGATGCAGAATTAGGGTTTCCTTGGTCGGAGACAATAATGAAACGGGCCTTGTGCGAATCTTGAAGTAAGTTAATGGGCCTATTCCAATACTAAAGAGAATCCTTTAGGAGCTCAATTCTGTAGGCACGTGCGAATGTTTAGGAAAACTACGTGTAAATACCGTTTTTATAACATTCTTTTGTCGTTTCCTCACGTATGTGCTGACAATGAAAATTCATTTCTCTTCAAACAAATTACAAAATCGGACAAAGTACATATAATGTTCTTACAGAACATTCACAAAAGACAGGCAGTTCAACAGAATCCAAAAGGTAGGACATAAAAGCTGGAGAATTTACTGTCACCAACCAAAAAAAAGACCATCAGTTGTGCAATGCCGGCGATGACATATCGCTGGATGTAAAACTGAAAACTCGATGACCCGATTCTCACTATACTCTGCTATTACGGCTTTTACCATATGCATGATTATGCATCCTATACTTCAAAGCTTTCATCGCTGCCTTTGCTAAAATATGGGCAGCTTCGGCTTCGGCTTCTGCTTTCTCTGCCGAGGTAAGAAATTTTTTTTCCCTACTTTTCCCTTTTGAATCTGCAGTCTTTACCTAATGAGAATGAGTAGTATCCACTGACATCTAATCTTCCAGAAACTTTATTTCTAGCAGACCATTCTGGAACAGACAATGGATCACATTCTAGGTTGTATAGATAAGCTATTTTCGGCAGGTAATAAACCGCCAGGCACTGTATGTCCAGAAGTTAGCCATAGCAAAAATACCACTACAAACAGCCACAGACAAAGGCACCGAGTATCTAAAACAAGAACTTTGAAGGCGGGGGTTGATGGTGAGTGAAGATTCAAAGAACAAGTTTATTTCCTATTAAGACCACATTCCGCCTCTGCAACTGCTCTTGCAGCAGCTACATCGGCTTCTTGGGCAGTCATTCCCTTTACCGTAAATAGATCCCCTTCTGCTTGGGATTTAATAAGAGTATCGACACCATTTTCTTCCACAATTGGTCTATCTACTCTCCTTGTTTCCTTCCAAAAGTAGTAGGGGAAACCTCCGTTTGGCTCCTGCGGTCACCGTACCTGGTGCTATCCTGTATTTGTGCTTTGTCTAAAAGTGTTGAACAAAAACAAACCCGGCTAAAGTATTCAATGCTGAATGGAGAATGAGATATGGTTCATATAAGTAATGTCCCACCTTAAGTAATGTGCCAATTGATGTCAAATGCTTTAGTCTTACTGCCACATGCCTTTTCATATTGGGTGGCGTCCTAAATTTATCCTGATATTTTACACCAACCAAGTCCTTGATGATTATATTTACCTAAATGATTCAACCATCCGCTACATGGAAGGAATATAGACAATAACGCTAGAGTACCACCTCTATATACAGAAAAATCGACGTTCTGTCAGTGCCACGCGGTTCCTTCAGGCTGGTGATTGCCTCCAGTATGATCTTATCCAAACTACAAGAGCAGAACATAAGACAGCTCAGAACCATCTTTATGTATTTAGACAAAGGTATTTCTCTGTGAGATGCATGGTGCTACATCTTGATATGCAGGAAGATTAACCAACGGATATTGCTTATTCACCATATGTTTTCATACGCTGTACCAGATATGTCATACAATAAAAGCTGAATCCTCGAACACAAAAGGATGAGATGTCACGAGTAGCGAGAGCCTAGCCTCGTAATTGACCTCTTCGAAGCACCATTCCTTGGCGATTCACCAGAAACTTCTGGAGATGATGAATCTATTTTTCCTTGATGGAGTTCTTTTAAGAGCGAGTTTAGCCTTCCTCCTAGAACCCCATAATGCCGTCACACTTATATTTCTCCATTTGTCCTGTTGTTATGCTTTGAATCATCAAAACCAGACTTGATTCTACTTTGAAACATGTGGGAAACAAAGTTGAGAATCAATGGGGATAAATTAGAAAAACTAGAAATCAAACCAGACCCTTGTACCAGAAAACTATAGTGCAAATATCAATAGGTTCATGTTCCGAGATTTATTTCTATACCTTGAGATCCACGCAATTTCCAATGAGTTTTCGGAGGACGAGGATATATATATATATAGCAACTTACAGAACTCATCAAGCGGCGACCGATCAGCTTTCCGCTTGACCCTAACGATCACAGGCTTCCTGGATTTCACCAACCACTTCCATACCGAACCAACAGATCTCGCACCTTAAACTGAAACGCGTCTTGCTAGAGTCTATCCATGACTTGTAGATCGGGAAAGCAGAAAATTTCTGACATCTGAATCCAGAGAAAATAAAATCCAGAAATGAGGAAGGAGACGAAGCATCATGCCTGATCAAGCGGAACCTGAGGAGAGTTCCCGAGAGAGACACGTGATGATGAAGCTGAATTCGCAAATGAACGGTGCCAACTGTGGTTGGCTCAACTGGTGAGTGGTATATGCAAAGAGAGTTCACCCGCCCTTCGGGGCCAGGTCAGGTGGTAAGGGAGCAGGGTGAGCAACCCTGAGGTGGAGGGATCGAATCCCAACATCGCTCTTCCTTACGCTTGACCTGATCGCCTGTCAGCTCATCCTAATGGGCTGATTTACCTCCTCCGCGTGTGTTGCAGGCTCGTGCGCGTGGGCGGGGGGTTTGACCTGCAGACGCCTAAGCCCAACTACGGCCCGAGCGTTAGGCGCGCTTGGTGGCCAGGTCCGGCGGACTGAGGTCCATGGGGACTGTTAGGCGCGGGTGGTGGCCAGTTCGGCACCGTTTGTAAGGGTAGGTAGTCACAGGGGTTCCCCACGTTAACAAAAAATAAAATAAAGTTTTCTAGTGAACGGTACTATTATAAAAAAAAAATATGAGTCTCAGAATTTCGCTGAATGTACGAAGAAGAAGACCAGATAGCATAAGAAAGAATCTCCAATGAAGTGAGAAACACGCGCCAAAAGACGACAAAAAAAATTAACACGATTAATGAGGACATGGCTACAGCCAAATAGTTTGAGATGGACCCCTCCATTTTCCTAATATTACACATTGCGCCTCAAATTCTACCCAATTAAAAAAAATATAAAAAAATTAAACTATTGCAATGATTAGTTCGTAATAATATATATATATATATATATATAATGGTTTTGGAATCAGTCATATATAAGATTTTTTGCATTATATAATTTACAATACATCACAATAATATACGTACATAAATACTCATCTTTTCAGGTATTGAAACCTGTTAAATTATGAATTAATTTTCGTATTACATGATTTGATTGCCAGTGTTCTTCGGTGGTTCTTATATAAACTGATAATAAATAACGATAGGAGAATGTTTTTGATATCAAAGATAAGTATCGATCCAAGGATGGATGTACCAATTGTAGCAAGCTATTCGACTATGGTTGGAAATTATATTCTGTGTGTTTGTTTTAGATTTTAAATTTTTAAAAAACCATAAATTTTAATACGAACAGAATTAAACAACGAGTCCGGTAATTAAGCAATGATAGGTGCCCGAAATTAAAAGAAGATAAATGCGTGTTCACCACAAGATTTATGCAAGTTTCTATACATGAATTTAGGCCGTAATGGGGAATTAGGGTGTTAATAATTTAATACGATTCGTATCCATAAGATAAGACATTAAATCTGTTATCGACGTTACAACTAGGAGCCGTTATTGGGACATGAATTCTCATTACATGTCGCAATTGTATTAGGTGTTTGATTTGAGTTTTGTCTATATCTAAACATATCATTTACATACGCACAAATATATATATATATTGTCGGCGCCATATACATATGCATTAGTTATATGATAATCGATATATATATATCTGCAACTGATATGATTAATGTATAATAATTAAATTGATTTCAAGCAAAATTAAAAGTGTGTATATATATATATATATATATTTAAAAAAGGGTAAAACGTACGTTACCCTCTTTTTTTTGCACCGATTTGGTGTGCGTTAACATATTTTTTAAGATCCAAGTTTTGAGAACGAAATATAATTAATGATTAACTTTTGTAACGAGCGGGACCAACTTTATGCATTCCATTCAATGAAAAAGAAATCGAAATCTACAGCCAGATGAAGCACCCTTTCCTGAAACAATTACCCGTCTTGAAAATCTTTAGATAATCAATATACATATTTTTACTTTTTTTTAATGGTTTTTGGTGATGCTTGAGAATATACATATTTTTTTATAGAAGTTTATGAGACTTCAATTTCCGGGATGCTGTGTAAAGATGGCCTCCACGTGCCGCCGTGCATCCTCTGGAACCCGCCACTGCCGGCGGTGGTTCCGGTGGCTACGCCGCTTACTCCGGTTCCTTCTCCGGCGACCATGTGGTTTTCCACCTTGGGTTAAAAAAATGGAAAGAAAATTATCCAGAGTAATTAACGCAGGAATATTTACCATAAGGACAATTAAAGTTGTTAGCTTTCGATTAAAGCAGCATGCACGATCAAACTGATCAAAACAATTACCCTGTCGGATTCCTCGTTTGGGTTCGGATCCGGGTTTGTCCGACCCGGTTTGTCCCTGTTCTTCTCCTTCTTCTTCTTCAGTTCAAGCCCTCCTCCTTCTCTCAGCAGCTTCCCAAGTTTCACGCATTTCTTCGCCGCAAATTCGTTCAGAACCTCTTCGTATGACCAACAAAAAAAGGATACATTTGAAAAAAAAAGGGGTTTCTCTCTCTCGGTGATTGATGTAATAAGGAATGGTACCTTCGAAGCTGACGAGACGGTAGACGTGACCGAGGAGGAGAGTGTCGTGGGGCCTGAGAAGCTTGAGATGCTTCAATGGCGAACCGTTGTCGTTGGTCAAGGTGGGTGACGTAATCACCATGGCCACGTAGTGACCAGGGTGCGAGCCCATGACATCACTGGCGCTCACCGACCAGTAGACCCTCTCGACCTTCTTCTCCGTCGGGTTGTGGATCACCACCGTCGCCGCCTCCGCCGCCTGACAGTTCCCCATTTCCTCTTCCCACCGACCAAAAAAAAAAGAAAAAGTTTGGACTTGTGTTCTCTAGACTCGATAAGAACGAAGGAATCGAAAAGTGGAACAAGAAATTACGTATATTTATGAAAAAGTTGGTGTAGTTTTAATGAAGGATGACGTCATAATTCTCTGTTTTCCTTCGAGATTATTATTATTATTATTATTTTTACATTTGGATGGAAGAATCCGGGGGCTAGAGGGTGTCAGGTGTGACAAAAAGGTCGCTGAAGAGAGATTAATGTTAAAATTAAAAAAGAAAAGAGACATAAGGATAGAGAGATGTTACGTTACATACGTAAGGGACTAATTAATGGAAACAACTGTTTTCGGGGGAAAAATTAGAGAAATAAGGAAGGATATTAAATGGATAGGGGATGGGATTGGAGGTTGGGTGGTCGACGGTTTTGTATTTATTCATTTATGATTACAATGTACGTGTGATCATTTGTTTAAGGTTTACTATTTTTAATTAATGTATATTATATATATATATATATTAAAAGACATATAAAGCTCTCGGAAGATGTCACACAGCATAACGATTTTAAAGCTACTGTAAAATTAATAGTGTCAATTGTTATGGTTGGTTGACAGGTACAAATTTGTTTTGCAATTGTTAAAAACCCATTATCCAACTCCTAAGTTTTTTTTTATGATGTAAAAGTTCATCGTACCTTTGCACCGATTACATCTCTCAGAAGATTGGAAAAGTCTATAGCTTCTTTTCAAATGAAAATTTGAATCGGGTTGAAAAAAGGTTTTTGCTCCCTTCCTTACCAATTGAATCATCCAATTTTGGATAACTCCTAATAAGTTATCGTAATACTTTTATATATATATATAATGTCAAATTTTGGTCGATGGTTTTTGTAATGAGTGCTAGTTTTTTTTCTCTAGGCGTGGGTTGCAAGAACAATAACAATACATGGGAAAGATGAAAGTGTGCAAAAACTGTTAGGTGTGATTTAGAAATTCGGAGCTTCTGGTTTATAGGGAAGGTCCTCCGACACAACATCATATAGTTTCCTGTTTGGTTGGTCGATATAACCAAACCAACGATTCCATCATAACAAAGTATGAAATGAGTTGATGATGATAATAATAATAATAATAATAATAATAATAATAATAATAATAATAATAATAATAATGCATAAATCATACTGCTTTGTATCATTTTAATGCAAAATAGAAGCAAATAAATTTATTTTTTATATTTATTCAAATTATGAGACAATGTCGTAAATATATACAATATTTTCCATGGTTTAAGTTGATGTATTCCATGTTGGGCATATATGTTTTAGATTTACGATATTTTAACACTGATTTGGTATTTATGAATTACTTTACGATTATGTTTTTTTTTTTGTTAGCTTGCAAGCAAAGCGTTATTAAAAACCTTAGTTTAAAAATATCTAAATCATTTTTTTTATATTAAATAATATTCGAAGAAAAACAAACACAATATGAACGGAAAAGCTAATACGTCATTTTTCCTCCCCATAAAACGTGATGTAATAGACGGGCCAAAGAAATAATCACACGGAATCGTCGTTGCCAGTGAAGGGGAACCGTCAATACATTAAATTCTGGGTTCGATGGCACTACGAATTTAATGATTTCGGTGGAAAAACATTTTCTACATGCGTGCCAAAGGGTTCGTTTTTTTTTAATAATGGAAAAAAAATCTAAAACGACATTATTTTAGAGATAGGAGCTTAAGGGTGGCCATTTCGGTTATTAACCGAATAACCGAGCCGAACCGAACCGAATAAGACATAACCGAATCCGACATCAAAATCGAACGGTCATGATTTCCTTAAATCAGAAAAATCGAAACTGAAACAACTGAACTGAATAGAAAATAACCGAAAAAAACGAGAGAATAACCGACAATTTCTTTAGAAAATTGAACTTTTTATCAAAACCGAACCGAAAAATAACCGAACCGAACCGGACCGAAATTTATATAAAAACCGAATGGTTATAGTTTTTCTATAACCGAAATAACTGAACCGAAACCGAATTGGCAACCCGTAGAGCTGAGCTAATCTAAGTAGAAAATTGACAAAATTATTGAAGAAAGCGAACAAAATATAGGCCCAATAAAATTAGCCTATTAAATTGTAACCAACAGAATATGGGCCCAATCTCCGTGTGTTTGCACTACGAATCAACTGGAAAGCCCATTTTCGGAAACGCGTAAAAAGGGTATCTGTTTAGTAAATTTCGATTTTGAATAGAATCGGGAGTAAATAAAAATGTATTATTAAGGACATAATTATTAATTTTTAAAGAGAAAAAAATAATGGAACCAAACTGTGAATGAATATAATAACATATGGGTGGATAGATAGAGCATATACCATTTCGATTCCTTGCCGCTTGTACAAAAACTATTTTAACATTTCCTTTTTGACGTTATCCATCACCACATTTGATGCCCAATAAGAAACCTACTACTGGTTTAATTGTTATGTGTGTATTCATCTCATAAATCAAGTCAAATCAAATCATTCACGCACACTCTTAATCAATTATCTCATATAATAATTATTATTATAATTATAATTTTACACAAAACATTGCGTAATCATATGCCCATCTGTTCTCGTTAATTCGTAATTATTGTTTTAATTCAATTTACACATCGCTATCAATTTCCACGTCCGAACTTGGTTACAAACCACGTCGCACCAAAATTAAAAACACTTGCCGGTCTTCTTAAGTAATGCTGCTTTGACTATAAACCAAATTAAGCAACTGCTGTACGAACAAAAAACATTTCTCAAAACATTAGAAACCCTATTTTGTTTCCTTGTCTATATTTCCGTATGGGGCCTTCTACGTGTCTCTTTAAGTGTTTTTTTTTCTTAACCTTAATTTTATATTACCTAATAATTTTAAATTTTGAAAATCATGTCGGGCAGAAGACTTTTACAGTTCTGGTACACGACACAACTGCAGCAAAACAACACATGGTCTCAGATCTCTGCTGCTGCTGCTGTCTCTTCCCCCACACTCCCCCACTACTCCCATCGATTTCACTTATTATTAAATTATCTTGATTTGGTAGATTTTATTAACATCGCGGATAATTTATAATTAAATAAAATGGACCCACGAGACGTCGGAATAAAAAAAATAAATGAATGAACGCGTGGCAGGATATGAGTGGGTACAGGTAAGTCAAGGGCAAAGACTGGGATGTGCCAACGGGGACACGATCGAGGTGTACAGTCAAAGCAAGACACTGTCTTGGTCAAAGATGTAGCTGGCTCCGTGGGCCCCACATTTTCATTTTCCTTTTTAAATCCCCCGATTATTTTTAGTATTTAATTTAAAAGGTTCTTATCCTGTTTCCGCTGTTTAGGTTAAATGACATCGATAATACTTGCGTTACTTCATTTTTTTTTTGTGAGAAATTATCTTTTTATTTGTCTCAAGCAAACAATTTATGCAAACTATATATGACGACCACAAAAATATTTATAACTGAAAATTGAATCGTCTGTTTCTGTTTGGTGTGTATATAAATAAAGCTTCATTTTATTGGGCAGGAAAAAAGTTAACATATTAATAATAAATAGATTAATAAAAGACTAAAACAAAGGTTAAATAAGTGATTATGGCATAGAGATTAACGTCGCACGTGCCCAATATGTACGGTTCACTCTTCGACATGGGTGTTTGGAGTTTGGTGAGGAGAATGCAGCAGCTTTTTTACTCGTATTGGGAATTCTCACTCATGTGTACAAAAACAAATTCAATTAATCGAATTATATTACTTGGAACTCAATGGCTCAGTGCATTTAACTTGTAAAATTCATATTTCATTAGACTTGAATGCATGCAAAAACAATCAAAATTTAATCTTTTTTTTTTTTAATTTCTCCGTTTTACATTGTGATTCGGCGATGGTATTGAGCCATAGGGTAAAAAACATGGACATCCATGATTTACCGCAGTAGTTATAATACTTATTTGTATGGTAATAAAAAAAGTGAAATAATGGTTGTGGTGGGGTGGAAGCTTTTGCACGTGTGGTGCGCGAGCCGAGTGGCTAAAATAACCGTCGACAGTT